TAGCACAAGGACTTGTATTGCCCACTGAATATATTTAACTGTAGAAACAAGTTAATGATGGACAAATGTGACAGAGTAGTGTATAATGTGTAAGGGGCAAAAAGATAGAACTCAGAAATCTTGTGGAACAGGAACTGACTGGTCTAAAGGCTTGTTATATATGGGAGATGGGATGGAGAATAAAATAGGATTCACGGATAACTCCTAAATATCTGGACAGAGACAATGGATGGAAGGTAGCACCATTTACTAAGCTAGGGAATATGAGAAAAGACAGATTTGAAGAGAAAGATAAGACAAGTTTTGAGCATGCTCAATGTGAAATGCTTGTGGAATATCAAGTGCCTATGGTCAGTTTGTAGCTGTATACATTGAATACTTCCCAGAAGTATGAAGTCTCATAACAAGAAAGCAGACCTTTTAATATGTGGTGATTATGCCTTAAATAATGCAGTGATAAAATTTCTTAAAATAGTCAATATTTACGAGGGAAAAAGGTAAAATTAAACAGATACAATATTTGCAATTACAAAAAGGACAGAAAAGGTTAAAGCAATGTCAGTTTTGACGAAAATCAATAAGAAAGAGAATCCAGCCAAGATGTGTCCTATTTCTGAAATGAAAATTAACTAAAAAGGTAAATAATCCAAAAATAATCCAGTCAAGCAAGGAAAAGTAATGGAAGCAATTCTGAATAGTTTTCTAGAATTCAAAAGAATTAAAAATATATATTTCAGTTAACAGAATCCTTGATGATAAACAAAAAAACATTTCTAGGCATCAAATGAAAAGATATTTGCAATTGGTATTAATGGAATTCTGGTTCTTTACACGTTTTTTTCTTAAACAAACATAATAATTACTAGCAATTGCATACATCATTACTTTTTGCCCTGAATCTAGAGCTTCAGTGGCAACAGATTTCACTAGGGGAATGAAGTGAAGAGGAAAGCTATTCTCCACTTGCAGCTACCTAAAGAGACTTGCTTCCCTGGTCCTGAGCAGGCCAAAGTTCAGGCAGATCAGAAAGAAAAAAATGCTAGAGTAAAAATGTTCACTTTTTACATGTTTAACCTCTTTTAAAGTTTCTTAAATGTTTCAATGTCTTAAATTTTTTAAAGTTACAGTTCACACTAAGCTGCACAATTTAAGTCTTTTGAGACATACATGTTATTTTTCTCTCAAAACAAAAGGACCAATTACTAATTGGTCATAGACCACATCTCTGTTTTCTACATTATTTTAAGTGCGATAAAGTGTTTCTGAAATACATCTTTATCACTAGAGCCATGTCAAAAGGCTCTCCAAATGTCTAAGACTTTAAAAAACAAACTTAAATACTGCTGCATAGCTGACTTTTCTCCAGAAAAGCATATTAAATTTGTTGACACTGGATACAAAATAAAATTCAAAAATTTGCATTTTCAGTACTTTTGGTTTCTTGACCTTTATTTGAATTTGAGACTAAGCTTTACCAAACAACAGAATTCGCAGTGTAACTAGTCAACCACAGTCCTCATTATGGAATCTATGCAGTGCATTTGTTACCTAGGAAACAGACCAGAGCACAGGCAGAGTGCAATTTCAGTATAGCAAAAGAATTCTCCAATCATGCTGGTAAATAAAGTCCATAAATCAACTAATCAGAAGCATCAGAGTCAGAAGTAACAAATAAGAGCTAAGCTCTGTGGAAACTTTTATAAAGGAAAAAAAAGAAACCTGTGAGTCTTCTTCAGGCAGCTATGTAGATCTTGAAAGTAAATATTATGAACAGGTTTCTTTACAAACACAAACTGTCAGAAAATAAACTGTTCAAAATAAATGGCTTCCCTCCAATCTTCAGCTTCTCTATTTTTGACAGTATTTAAGAGAAAAAGCTTCCTTAGAGCCAGCCTCATACATCTGGTGGTAGAATATTAATCCAAGAATGAATTCTGCATTTTCGGCAAGCAGCAAGGGTTTGTGCTTTCTTAAACAACGCAGAACTATAAAGGCTGGAACGAGAGGTCACTGTGCACACCTCTCAGTCAGACCAGCCTCCCAGCAGGCTACAAAAACTAGACGAAAAAAATGGACCTGAAAGTCTTATCTGTTAAAAAGAATAAAATTGTGACTTTTCAGCTTTCCATTTGGTTATTACTAATAAATATACTAGTCATTTGAGGGTTCCAGGTAACCTAAAATGGCCATTTTGAGTTTCCTTTAATACTACCACACTGATAACTAACAAACATGAAAAGGATAGAAAAGTCTATGGATTTTAAAACCTATCAAATTTAACTGCGGACAGCTTAGTGTTTAAAAAAAAGAAACTGGTAAATGTCACATTACATTACTCAGCTATATTTAAAATCTAACTTTACACAAATTAAGGATTTCTGGAAGTAGTGTTTATTTGTCATGGTCTCAAAACCAGCAAAAAAACTTCAACTATGGAAAGTGAAAAATAATTTATATGCCTTCCTCAACCTACGAGAAGGGAAATCAGTTGAAATTATGTAAGGTTCTCTGGATTGCTTCTGATTACACTAAAAAATTATTGTTTATTATACAAAAACCAAAAAATTCATATCTACATTTCACAGCCAAAAATAAAAACAAAAACAGAAAAATAGTTGTCATCTTTTAGCCAGTCCTCATAATCTCTTTAGCCAAACCCATTATATAGACAGCACACTGCCAATTCCAGAAAATTGTTAGGCACAACTACAACTCTACAAAGCAATTCTCAACACAGGCCACACTCTCTTAACGTTTAGTTCACACAGCGACTTTTTGTTAAACCATATCCCTGCAATCAACAGCCCTGTAAATAAATACAAAAATAAGCAAATCAAGTTATTAGTTTATCTTTTTTAAATATTTCTAAGAATCGATGAAGGGTGTTTTCCAAGAGCTGAAAATTGGAGTGTTTTCGAACTCCATTCCACCCTTCATGATAAAGCCTGAACAAATTTCAGTACTTATCCTCTTCGGGCCATCCTTACTGGAAAAGGAAAAGGAACCTTGCTCAAGGGCCTATCAGCACTTGGCTCTATGCACTGAGCTGGGTGCAGATTTTAAATTCATGTATCTAATCTAACCCAGAAATCAAAGCAGGGGTAACATTTGATCAACTCAAAGGGGCTGGCAAGACCAATGTTAGATGTAGCCTCCTCTAGGTTTTAAGTGTACAAAAACGTACATTATAGGCATTTACAAAATTAGGCATGCAATAATATTTATCTGTTAATGTAAGTAGGGCAAGAATCTAGGATATATATTTTCTCCTAGAAAAAGACCACTATTTTAGGCATACTGTCTCCTCTTTATAACAAAAACCTATTTGCCTAATTAAAACTGCACTAAATTGTACGTTGTTTTCTGATGAATTTCTGTATCTTACTTGATGAAAACTTACGTAACAAATATTGTTCCACCATGTTTTTTTCTTCGTTTACACAATTTTTTAAGCCTCTGTTATCTACAAAGAGCTGTACATATAACTGAATAGCTCCAAAACTGTTTTCAATCTCCTTTGTAACTGCCAAATTTAAGTTTCTTACTGTGAAGTCTTACACAAAAGGAAAAAAAGTTTCCAGAAGCAGCAAATTGAGATTAATAAAAGATAAATATCCAACCTGAATTAAAAATCTGAATCTGTAAAAATAATTTTGTGGGTGTTTATTCAACTTCATTTACTGTTTGAGTATCTACAAATACCCATCAACTGTTCATAAGAAACTCAGCCAGATAAATAATATAAATAAGAAATATTTATCACCTATGGTATTCTTCAAAAACACTCAATCCGATATTTGGGATATATATATATCACATAAATACAAAGAACAAAATAGAGGCAGTACTATCGCGGAGAGAAAAAATATCAATTCTAACATTCATGTTCTCTCCATATGTTGTGAAGGATTTCACATCTAAAACAAGCAAAAATAAAGGTTTCGGCCTGGGCGGAAAACTAGATAATTGTTTACTGCATTCCAATGTAACCTCCACCGTGGAAGCTGTCACTATCTGACTCGCTTGTTAACCGTTTAACAGAGTAGCAGAGCCTGACATGCTTATCTTAAGGAGTCTGGGAAATAACAAAACTTTACTCCCGAACTTTAACATACACATACATGTAAAAGTCACAGTCGTATTCTTTTATTTTTTACCTTTAAGTCTCTACCTAACCTTAAACAAATAAAATTAAAACGCAAGCAAGCAAGCCACCTGAAGACCAAAAATATTCTTTGATTTTGGTTTGATTTTGATTTGATTTGGTCAGCCCAACGTCCTTCTTCCCAGGAGAATACATTTCTCGATGTATTTGATAACAAACACAAATCGCTGTGCGCAGCCTCAGAAAAGGCGGGGGTGGAGGGGGAACAAGAGCCTTTCGGAGAAAGCCCTCCTCCGTTAGAAACAATAAATAAGGAACACAAGCGATGCACGTTCCTTCACACACGCCCCAAACGCACCTCAGCGTGCCTCCCGCGAGAGAAGCAAGTCGGGCAAAGCCCGAACCACTTCTCTCCCTCTCTCTCCATACACATCCCAAGACTTGCAAACTAAGGGGGCAGATCTTTTCTTTCTCCTTCCCGCCCTCTTTCCCACCTCAAACAGACTCAAAAGCCGGAGCAGGCGAGCCAGACGCACGCAGCGCGCCCGCGGCCCCAGGAGATGCCGGGCGGCCGGGCGGCCCGGGAAAGGCAGCCAGAGCCGCGGCCGCCGGAGCCCGCCTGGCCGCCCGGGCTCTCCAGCCCTCACACTCCCAAGCCCGCCTTCGCCGGCCGCGTCCGGCCGCCAGGGGCTCTGCCCTGACTGTCCAGGCCTTCCCCACCGCACCTCCCACCCCCCGAGGAGACAAAAGGAGGGTTCAGCCAGGTCACCGCTTGGCCACCGAAGAGGAGGCAGCACGGACCCCGGCACGGCCGCCCCCCACACAAAGGGGCTCCCCGGCCCAGGTCGCAGCGTCGGCGCGCTCGTCCCCGCCCCGCGCGCGGGTGCTCACCCACCTGCAGGTGTCTGTGCGTCTGTCCATAGGAACGCGGGCGGCTGGGGGGCCTGCGGGAGCCGGGCAGCCCGGGCTGGACGGGGCGGGACGGAGGGAGGCGGGAAGCGGCCGGAGGGCCGGGGAGCAGAGGGAAGCGGCGCGGGGAGGCGCCGGACGGGCGGCCGACGGAGGCGCGGGGCGGGAGCGGGGGCGCCAGCCTGGCTCGGCCGACCCGCGCGCGCCGCTCCGAGCGCCCCGGGCTCCGCGCGCCCGGCTCGGAGCGCGGCGAGCGGGAGGCGGGGGGCGGGGGGGGCGGAGCCGGCGAGCGGGGCGGGGGCTCGGACCCCGGGCTCCAGCCGGCACCGGAAACGCGCTGTGGTCCGCAAGACCCACAGGAAGTGTGTAACGACACCTCCTACGACGCACACCGAGTTCGTGTTCGTCGCTGCCCAAGGAGGTGTGGACCGACTCCCCCCCGCGCCACACACCCACGCGCACGAGCTCGGTGTCTGCACCACGACAGGTGTGGAACCCACGATCCCCGCTACGATCTGAAGTGGGCAGCACCCCTTCCGGCCACAAGCGCGGGGCGCGGTTCCCGGTGACCCCGGAGCTCCGTACAGCTCCACCTAAACGCAAGGAGCAGACCTTGCAAGAACCCGCTCCGTTCGTCAGTTGTGTGACACCTGTTTTAAGGCACTGAGTCAAGTCACCTTCACCGCTAGGAATGTGCAAGAACAACTCCGACCGACAGACGTACTTACCCACAGTCACTGCTGCCCAGTGGAAGTTCCTAACCCAACTACAACACATGCACCCATCCCGTGGAGCGAGCCGGGCCGCTTTCTGACACCTAAAGCACACCGAGACCGGGGAAGCGCACAACAATACTACCTACACGGCTCGGCACAGCAGAGGTAAGACCGGACTTGCTACGTGCTGCCTGGGCGCTCTGCACCTTTATTTTACCTAGCAAACGCTTTCATAACAGCTCTCTGGGGTTTACACTAAATGCTTAGTGAGTATTAATTTATTTAATCCTAAGAGTTCTATAAGGTGGGTGTTGTTAAGCATTGCTCTTTCATGGATGAGGAAACCGAGACACAGAGAAATTAGGAAATCTGCCCAAGATCATAGTAGCCGGAGGAACCCAGATTCATCTTGGGCAGGCCAACTCCAGACTCCATGCACTTAACTCTCTGCTACATCACAGCACTAAGCATGTCCAAAATAATAATGATGGTAATAAATAAGGTTTAAAGCGTATGTCAGCCATATGTGGTGCTCACTTATTGGCCTCATCCTAACTGTGACAGGAGAACCTCAGTCCCTTCTACACTTGGGGTAGGTGAAGGGAAAGAAGAAAATGACCCAGGCAAAAAAAAAAAAAAGGACTTGACTTCTGAACAAAGGAGAAAGGATTAACACCTTGATCTAGCAACACTCCTTCTGGTCTAGGATAAATTTTTAAAAAAACGACTGTAAACATTTTTGACAAAACAATGTCTATCCAATAACCCCTTCTCCCCCAACAACAAAAAAGGCAGTTAATTGCCACATATTTCAAATATGTAATCCTGTGGAGAAATTGGAACCCTGTGCACTGCGGTGGGAATGTGAAACGGTGCAGCCACTATGGAAAACAGTATGGAGGATCCTCAAAAAACTAAAAATACAATTACTGTCTGATCCAGAAATCTCACTTCTGGGTAAACATCCAAAAGAATTTAAAGCAGAAACTTGAAGAGACATTTGCACACCCATATTGACTACAGCATTTTCACAATAGCCAACAGGTAGAAGCAGTCCAAATATTCATGGATAGATGAATGGGTAAACAGAACGTGGCATGTGCATATAACAGAATAATATTCAGCCTTAAGGAAAGAAATCCTGCCTAGTGCTACAATGTGGATGAACCTTGAGGACATTATGCTAAGTGAAATAAACCAGTCACAAAGGGACAAATGCTATATGATTCCACTTATATGAGATACCTAGAGCTGTCAAAATCATGGAAACAAGTATTATGTTGGTTGCCAAGAGGGAGGGAAATATGGGAAATTGTTTTCTGAGTATAGAGTTTCAGTTCTGCAACATGAAAAAGTTCAAGAGATTTGTTACACAACAATGTGAAGTGTATAGTTAATAGCACTGAACTGTACACTTAAAAATGGTTATGAGGGTTTTATATGTTTTTTTACCATAATTAAATTTTAAGCACAATCCCATTTGTTTAAAGGATATTTCCATGATGGTAAATTTTTTTACTGATGCAGTCTTCCAGCTATGATGGATACCTTGTTGAACAAATTAATTTTCCCACTAAAAATTACAAAAGCTAGATTAGAAAAAAGGAAAAAGCTGTTGAAAACACTTTAGAGTAACTGATGCAACCCAGACGAGAGTCCCAAAACCCCAGGAAGCAGGGAAACATTGAAGTGAACCCTATATTTTCAGCCACGTTTTTCTTCTCAGGACATTGTTGAGTTCTGTCTAAGACTAGAGAAAACAAACAGAGAGGCATCCTAGAGCTTAAGACAGTCTGATTGGGCTAGAGATAGAAAATTTGGAGGTCAAATCTGTCAAGACAGCTAGGACTTGAGAGGCCAAGCTCCTTTACAAAAGGCAATCTCAGAAAAAGCAGTCAATCACTCTACATGCCATTTCCCCTCAAAGCAGTGCTGACTCCTATTCTGCACATGCAAGGGGCAAGAAGCCAGGAAACTAAGCAGAAAGCAGCTGCTAAGAGGAAAAAAAAAATCTGAGCAGAAATCTTTGGCAGTGTCATGGTGCTAGAAAGAAATAGGAAGCAGGAGCCCTGGTAAACACTTCAGACTTTCAGTTGAGACCCTTGAAGAACGACATCCTGAGAGAAATGCAAATGAGAAAGAGAACTAATGATGCTTAAAACAGCCTTCAACTATTTCAGTCCCTGGTTAGATCAAGGTGATCTTTCAATTTATCTATCTTACTACAAGAAGTAAATAAATTGGCTGCTCATCTCTGGAGCATGCCATACTCCCTCCCTGAGCATATACTTTTGCCTTATTAAACTATTCTTGTATGAGAAAATTTTTAAAAAAGAAGAAGAAAATAAATCTTTGGTTGAAGAGCCTTTATATTTTTCATACACAATGTCTGGCATTCTACCAACAATTACCAAACATGCTAAGAAAAAAGCCTGGTTAACCAAAACAAAAGTCAAGAGGAAAAAAGATAATACAGCCATATGCACATGATCCAGATATTGTAGTTATTAGATATAGCCTTTAGAATAGCTATGAATATGTTCAAGAACATAAATAACAGAATGGAGAATTTCACTACAGAGCTAAAATCTTAAAGATCAAATAGAGCCAGTTGGAAAATGCAAATCAGAACCACAGTGAGATATCACTACACACTCACCAGAATTGTTATAGTAAAAAAGACAGACATCAACAGGTGTTAGTAAGGATGTAAAGAACTGGAACCCTCATTTACTGCTAGTGAGATTGTAAAATGGTACAGACACTTTGCAAGACAGAATTTCTTCAAAAAGTTAAACATAAAATTACCATATGACTCAGCAATTCTTCTAGGTATCTCCCCAAAAGAAGTGAAAACATATGTCCACACAAAATCTTGTAGGTGAATGTCCTTCACAGTATAATTTATAATAGTAAAAAAGTGGAAACAACCCAAATGTGCAGTAACTGATGAATGAATAGATAGCACGTAGTGTATCCATCCAGTGGAGTATTATTCAGTCACACAAAATAATGAAGTACTGCTGATACATGCTACAACATGGATGAACCTTGAAAACATTATGCCATGGGAAAGAAGCCAGTCATGAAAGACCATATATTTTATGGTTCTATTTATGTGAAATGTCCAGAGAGAATTAAAATTCTTACATTCTACAGGGATAGGGATGGCAAGGAAGTGACTGCCTTGTAGTCATTTGGTGGTTTCTCAGATAAACATATGGTCAATTGTATATACTTTTAAGTTTCACTACTTTTTGGTGTTTGATGTGAATAAAATACCTTTCATTAACCTTACAATAATGGCACCCTCAATTTTATATTTTTCATTTCTAAAGCTCTCTTAAGATCTTTTTAAAATCTGTATTTTTCAACAAATGATGCTGGAACGATCAGATATCCCTAATCAGAAAAATTTAATTTGATCCACACCTTACACCATGTACAAAAATTAAGTTGAAATGGATAATAGACCTAAATGCAAAATTTTAAACTATAAAACTTCCAAAAGAAGTTTTTGGTTAGACAAAAATTTCTTAATTGTGACACCAAAAGCATGACCCATAAAAGGAAAAAAAATTGATAAATTGAACCAAAAATTAAAAATTTTTGTTATTCCTAAATCACTGATAAGAGAATGGAAATACAAGTCATTGAAAGGGAGAAAATATTTGCAAATATCTGATAATGATTTGTATCCTGACTATAAAAAAGAGCTTCCTAAGTTCAACAATAAGAAAACAAACAGCGAAATAAAACGTGGGTAAAAGATTTGAGCAGACACTTCACCAAGAAGATACACACATGGCACATAGCATATGAAAAGATGCTCAACATCATCAGGGATATGAGAATTAAAATATAATATGATACCACAATACACTTATAATGGCTAAAATTTAAAAGAGTAAGTGTATCAAGTGGAGAAAATGTGGAGAAATTTAATCCTGTACATTGCTAGTGGAATGTAAAGTGTACAATCACTTTGGAAAAAAGTTTGGCAATTTCTTAAATATATACCCACCATAGAATCCAGCCATTCCATACCCTTCCATACAAGACCATACAAGGACTCAATGTTCATAGCAGCTTTATTTATAATAGCCTAAAGCTGCAAAAACCTGAATGTCTGTCAGCAGGTAAATGCATAAACAAATTGTGGCATATCCATATAATGGAAAACTACCTAGCAATAATAAAAGGAATGAACTATTGATACATGTAACATGAATAAATCTCACAGTAATTGTCCAAATTGAAAGAAGCTGAACAAAAAAGAGCATATACTGTATGACCCCATTTATATAATTGTAGGAAAATGAAAACTAATCTTTAGTGATGAAAAACAGATCAGTAGTTGTTGGAAATGGGGTGGAGGATGGGCATAAATAACTACAGAGGAGTAGGAGGAAAATTTTGGATATATTAATGTTTAGGTAGTTGGTGATGGATATGTTCACAGTGCCATCAATAGTAAATATATGGGGGGTAAATTTAAAAGACTTTTTTATAGTCTTTAAAAAGTTAATTCACTGTTTAACAAAAATTAATACATTGTAGTTTATAACATGGAAATAAAATTTGATAAAAATAATACAAAGGATGCAAATGGGTAATAGAAAGTTGTGTGACATTCTTGCATTACATGGAAGGTAGAATGAAATGGAAAAAGGTTGGAGAAGAAAAAGATATATAAAACAGATGGGGAAAATGCAAGATAATAATTAACCTCCTTCCAAACATTAAGCACCAGTCAAGATGGGTTCACTGGTGAATTCTAACAAACATTTAAGGAGGGAATTTTACCAATTCTTTATAGTCTATTTAAGAGTGTAGAAACAGAGAAAATACATCTAACTCATTCAGTGAAGCCCATACCAAAACCATAGACATCACAAGAAAAGGAAAATAAAATATAGACCACTATCTTTTATGAACACATGCAAATATTCTCCACAAAATATTAGCAGATTGAATCCAGTGATGTATAAAAAGAATTACTTACCTCAAGTGTTCTTAGCCTATTCAGACTACCATAACAAAATACAGATCTTCCTTAACTTACACTGGTTATGTCCCAATAAACCCACTGTAAGTTGAAAATATCTTAAGTAGAAAAATGCATTTAATATACCTAATCTTCCAAACATCATAGCTTAGCCTAGCCTACCTAAAACACGCTCTGAACACTTACATTAGCCTACAGTTGGGCAAGTTATGTATCACAAAGCCTATTTTATAATAACATATTGAAAATATATAATTTATTGAATACTGTACTAAAGGTGAAAAATGGAATGGTTGTGTGGGTACAGAATGATTTTAAGTGTATCCATTGTTTATCCTTCTGATTGTGTGGCTTACTGGGGGCTACAGCTCACTGCTTGCTGCCCAGCATCACAAGTGAGCATCATACCATATATCCATAGTCTGGAAAAAGATCAAAATTCAAAATTTGAACTGAGTTTCTACTAAATGAGTATCACTTTCACACCATCATAAAGCTGAAAAATCACAAGTTGAACCATCATAAGTTGGGGACCATCTGTACCAGAGACTGGGTAGCTAATAAACAACAGAAATTTATTGCACACTGTTCTGGAGTATAGGAAGTCCAAGACCAAGGCACTGGCAGATTCAGTGTATGGTAAGGGCGTGATTTCTGGTCAATAGATGGTGTCTTCTTGCTGTGTCTTCACATGGTGAAAGGGACCAGCTAGCTCCCTGAGGTCTCTTTTATAAGGGCATTACTCCCTATCATGAAGTCCCCACCCTCATGATCTGTTCACCTCTAAAAGGCTTTACCTCCTAATGTCATCATCTTGGATGTTAAGATTTGAAACTTGGAAGGACACAAACATTCAGACCATAAAAACAACCAAGTGGGATTTATCCCAGGTATGTAAGGCTGGTTCAGCATTTGGAAATCAATTGATATGATCTACCACATCAACAGGCTAAAGAAGAAAAATCACATGATCAGTACATGCAGAAAAAGCATTTGACAAAACCCAACACCCACTCATGATAAAATTTCACAATAAACCAGGAAGAGAGGGCAACTCTCCAACTTGATAAATAATATATACAAAAAACATATAGCTAACATCATACTTAATGGTGAGAAACTAGAATCTTTCACACTAGATCATGAGAAAAGCAAGGATGTCACCTCTCATTACTTTCAACATCACACTGGAAGTCCTAACAGAGTAACACAAGAAGAGAAAATAAAAAGCATACAGATTGGGAAGGAACAAATAAAACTCTCTGGTCACAGAAGACATAACTGTCTATGTAGAAAATCTAAAAAAATTGACCAAAAAGAAAAACCCTCTTGGAACTAATAAATGATTATAGCAAGGTTGTAGGGAACAAGGTTAATATATAATTCCATCACTGTCCTATATACCAGCAATAAAGAAGTGAAATTTGAAATTTAAAATACATCACCACTTACATTAGCAACCTTAAAAACTGAATACTTAGGTACAATTCTAACCAAACATGTACAACACCTATATGAGGAAACCTATAAAACTCTGATGAAAGTTATTGAAGAACTAAGTAAATGAAGAGGTATTTCATGTTCATAGATAGGAAGACTCAGTATTGTCCCATATTGTTATATAGATTCAATACAATGCCAACCAAAATCCTAGAAAGTTATTTTGTGGATATTGACAAAGTAATTCTAAATTTTATGTGGAAAGGCAAAAGACCCAGAATAGCCGACTCACTATTGAAGGAGAACAGAGTTGAAGGACTGATAGTACCTGACTTCAAGACTTAATATAAAGCTACAGTAATCAAGTAGTGTGGTATTGATAAAAGAAAAAACAAATCAGTGGAAGAGAATAGAGAGCTAGAAATAAAACCACATAAATATAGTCAACTGATCTTTGACAAAGAAGCTTTTTTTATAACTTATTTAAAATTTTTATTTATTTTGTATTGAGGTATGTGCAAAATGCACAAATCTTAGTGTACAGCTTGGTGAATTTTGACTCATATATACACTCATGTAACAACTGCCCATATCCAGATATCAAACATGCTAATTTTTTTTCCCTTCACCTATTTCACTCATCCCTCACCCCCCTGCGCCTAAGGTGACCACCAGTCTGTTCTCTGGGTGACAAAGGATCTTTTTAGAACTTTTTCAACAAACGGTGCTGGAACAACTAGATATACATGTGCAAAAAAAAAAATCTTTACACCTCTCACAAAAACAACTCAAAATGGATCACAGGTCTGAATGTAAAACACAAAACTATAAAACTTCTGGAAAATAACATAAGAGAAAACCTAGAAGAACTTGGGTATGGCAATGACTTCTTAGATATAACACCAAAGGCATGATCCATGAAAGAAATGATTGATAAGCTGGCCTTCATTAAAATAAACTTATCTGTGAAAGACAATGTCACAAGAACGAAGAAAGTCACAGACTGGAAAAATAAAATACTTGGAAAAGATACCTGATAAAGGACTATTATCCAAAATGTATAAATAACTCTTAAAATGCAACAAGAGAACCTGATTTAAAAATGGGCTAAGACCTAACAGACCAAAGATTCAAAGTGAACCTCACCGAAGACTTAGAAGCAAGCATATGAAAAGATGTTCATCCTATGTCATTTGGAAATTGCAAATTAAAATAATGTGATAACCACTACACACATATTAAAATGGCCAAAATCCACAGAACCAACAATACCAAATACTAGCCAGGATGTAGGGCAACAGGAACACTCATTCATTGCTGGTGGGAATGCAAAATGGTACAACCACTTTGGAAGACAGTTTGGTAATTTCTTAACAAAACTAAACATACTCTTACTACACAATCCATTTATTTTTCTTTGCACAATTTGCCACCCTAGAAACTCAAAAATCTTTTTCCTTTGTCTTGATACTGCTCTGTAAGTCTGGGGAAATCCCAGGCGAAATACCTCTAAAAACCAAAATCAGTCAAAGGGAGAAATAAAGTTTAAAATCCATTTATTGCTCACAAACTGCAGTCTGGGGCCCTCCCCCTCACCTTCAGGTACCAATAAGCCCTCTGTTACCCAGGTAATTGCCCATTGATATGGAGATGAACTCTCCACCCCTGAGGAATGATGCAAATGCACTAAAGCTATACTTCTCTCCACCCTTGAGCATCTGTTGATATGCATATGTACTAAAGCCAGGGGAAATATTCTGGAAACAACTATTTTACCCACAGCTCTAAAAATGTATATAGGTATTCAGAGGTGGAAAGAAGTACAGCTTTAGTGCATTTGCATCATTCCTCAGAGGTGGAGAGAAGTTCATCTCCGTATCAGTGGGTAATTACCCGGGCAACTGAGGGCTTATCTGTACCTGACAGGGAGGGCCGGTTTTGCTTCTGCTGGAGCAGGAAAGAGAGGGCCTGGGACTGCAGTTTGTGAGCAATAAACAGATTTTAAACTTTATTTCTCCCTTTGACTGATTTCAGTTTTTAGAGGTATTTTGCCAGGGATTTCCTTTCCCTGGACTTATAGTTAAGATGTTATATAAGCTCAAGTTCTGATCACCCCTCATCTGAATGCTGCTATGTATATGTACAAGGCACATATTAATAAAAGTTTTTTCAATTTTCTTATTAATCTTTCTTTTGTTAGTCTAGTTTACAGGGCCCCAGCTGAGAACTTAAAATAGATAAAGGAAGAAGACATTTTTCCTTCCGCTTGAGGATTATTTAAGAGCACTATATAAAAGGATTTGTTGAAATACAGTATTACTAGCAACAAACCATCCTAAAAGTGTCTAAAGAACTTTACTCAATTACTAAAAAACCCAAAGGCATAATTTCCCTCCACACTTTTCCATTGGCTTCTGGGCAGCACACAAAATGGCCACTCAAAACTTCTGGTAAGATCTACAATTTGACTGCATTTAATGGAGAAGATTCAAGACAAGGGAACATGTGAATCCATTGAGGCAGCTGGGGGATGTGGCAAGAGAGGCGGCTACGGGAATGTAGGTGTGCCCACCTTTATTTCTGATGGAATAAGGCAGATGGCTCTGCCCTTCTAGTGATAGTTAATAAAGGGGCTGCAGATGACCTCATCTAACTCCATTTATCAATTACTTAACGTGAAAACCAGGGTCTTATGGAAAGATTGTTTTCCTATATCCTAAAGGCTTTTAGTTAGCAAGTTCATGTTTTAGTGACTAGAAACTGGCATTACTGCCTCACAACATTTTCTCCTTTTTCTTTTCCCAAAGCTTTGAGACCGTTTGGAGAATGCAAAGAAAAAGTCTTTAGAAAACTTGTGTAGAAAAGGAGCCTTCTGGCAACATCTGACGGAAATCCTCACATGGCTAGAAATCACTGGGACATGCCAAAGGAAGTGAGATTGCCTCCCCAAAGTCAATCCATCCGGGCTCATGGATGGGGAGGTGAGGTCTTCAAGTTCTTTTCAAGGCCAATGTACTGAAAGGTTTTTGTTGGATAGGGCCTGTTAATTTGGACTTGGACTGGTCCTTTCCCATCTGTGGTCTTCTGTTTCCTCATTTGTAAAATGAAGATTGAAAGTTTTTAACATGATTCTGTGAAATGTCAGAATTAGCTAAGTTGCTAAGTAGCACAGTAATATTACAGAGTGGAAGATGAGAAATAAAATACATTGAGCAAGTATTTTTTTTTAAGTTAAGCTTTTTTCAAGAACGACAAACCATTGTATTAATTTGTCTGGACTACCAAGCAAAATGCCAGACTGGGTAGTTAAACCAAGAGAAATTTCTTTCAGTTCTGGAGACTAGAAGTCTAAGATCAAGGTGTGGATAGCTTTGCTTTCCTCTGAGGCCTGTCTTCTGGGCTTGCATGCAAGATGACCGCTTTCTTGCTGGTCCTCACATGGTCACTCCTTTGGGTGTGCATCCTTGGTCTCTCTTTTGTGTCCAAATTTCCTCTATGTCTAAGGACACACCAGTCAGACTGGATTAGGGCCTACCCTAAAAGCCAACTTTAATTACCTTTTTAAAGGTCTGATCTCCAAACATAGCACGTTCTGAGGTACTGGGGGTTAACTTCAACATATGAACTTGAGAGGCATGCTGTTCAGCCCCATAACCATTTATTCTTATGTTCTCATTTCAAAACACTGTGACCAAGTGCATACTTCTGGAGAGAAATTATTCTATTTGGGGACATTTTTACATACTTTAAAATAGGATATATACTGCAATTAGTTGAATTACTTGAGACTGGCATCTGAAAATTAATAATTGCAATATTGTGATTTATGAGAAATAACGTATTTGGTCATTCGAATGACCAAATACGTTATTTCTCATATATATTTGCTCTTTTGTCTACAATTTCTGGCTCACAGCTCCCAAAAACCTTGCAATTTTTTAAATGTTAAGAATGATAGTTGTCTTTTGTTATGTAAATGAGGTGACTTTTGGAAAGCAACCAAGGGTGGGGACTGGTTGCCAGGAAGACCAACCCTGTGATTAGAGGGTTGTAACTTTCAGGCCCACCCCTGAAGAGAGGCGGGAGGTTGAACTAGCCAATGACCAAAGACTTAGTCAATCATGACTATGTAATAATGAAGGCTTCTTACAAAAACTCCACAAAATCAGAGTTTCCACGCTCGGGGAACCAGGATGTTTCTGAGCTAGGCTCCATGAGGACAGAAGCTCCTTTGTTCAGGACCTGGCCCTAGGTATATCTTCATCTGGATGCTGATTCATATCTTTTATCATGTCCTTTAATAAACTGGTAAATGTGTGGGTTTCCCTGAGTTCTATAAATCACTCTAGCAAATGATGATCAAACCTAAGGAGGAGGTTGTTGGAACCTCCAATCTGTAGCCAGATGGTCAGAGGCATATCAAACAGCCTGGGGCTTGAGACTGGCATCTGAAAAGGGAGGTGAGGGGGCCATCTTGTAGGATTGAACCCTTAACCCATGGAATCTAATGTTTTCTCTGGGTAGATAATGTCAGGATTTAGTTGAATTCTTGGACACCTTGCTAGTGTCCACAAATTAACTTGGTGGTGTCCGTGTTGGACTCCCCCCAAAGTTGAAATTGGGTCCAGTAACCTTAATAGAATAATATTTTCTTATAGATAACTTATACCTAGAAAGCTGGTTAACAAAATGAACTGTTTTTGTTTAGTCTTCACAAATAGAATTTACTAAGGAGTTTGTGATTTCTATGAAAGTGCATTACAGAAGATCTTTAAAACAATTATATAAAAATCTAAAATATCATTAAGATTTCATTAGTGTACAGCCCAACATTGAACATTTTAAAACAGATTAGTTCCACTTTAACATAGGAAGAAGCTTTGAAAAGAGTGAGTTTTACTGCTTGACCCTGATTGGTTGCTCATAATACTTTTCCTAAAAGATGGTGAATGAGATACAGAGCTCACAGGGCAAAACTCAAATTGTAAAAAACAGAATGTCTTACAATTCCACTTAGTGAAGTTTATATTTGATTGGCTAGCTGTTTTAATTACAATTTCAAATCTTACAGATAGAGAAATGCCATTTTTTCCAGATCAAACATGCATGAGTATCTTTATAATTGATAGTGGAGAAGACAAACAGATTTTAACTGTTGAGCCCTTTTACTTTTTGAGCTTAGTGGTAGATATGTATATTTTTGTCTTTTCCTTCACAGTTTGGCGTTCATCTGATTCATTAGCTTCTCCAATTTGATTGCTAGGGCCATGTTTCCTTTAATCTTCAATTTTCCTAACATGAATGCCATTGTTGGTTTTAGTTTCCCTAAAATGAGAAAATGAGAAAGGGGAAAGCATCCATTAGTGCCCTTAGGGATATAATGCTTCAAGAACATGCATTATAAAAAGAAGCTCCAGTTCTATAAACCTCTGAAGCACAGAAATTTCTATTACAGCATTTTTTTTATCAGTATCTTGGGAATCCAAATTCCTAGTCTTAGATGTTAACATTGTCTCATAAGAAATAATGTAAAAGCAATAATCAGCAAGAGGTTATATCAAAAAACTGAAGATGCAACATTTATATGCTAGTTACAGTATAATGAAGGGTACATGGCCCTCAGATGAATTGTGGTAAGCAAACACTATCTATTTTAGTACAGTATAGTTCATTAAACCTTTAACATTTCAAGTTTATATTTAAACAAATCAAATGGTATAAATGCACATAATATTCTTAAGAAATGGTCATTAAGTACAGTGTATGTGTGGACACAAAAGTACACATCAGCATTATTTTAACCACAAAAATGCTAGGATATAAAACAAACCTAAAAACAATTGTAGGTAGCTAAATAGAAACTCTAAGGAGGCAGGAAACTGCTTTTATTTGCTATTCTTATTCCAGTGCCAGTATAGGGTCTGGCATATGTGGAATTAAGAGAAAACTGAGGCTCATGGAGAATTTTGACTTGCCCAAGGTCACATAGCTTGTATATGACAGTGCTGCAATTCAAAGCCAAGTGTGTCTGATTCTCATTTATAGTTCTCTGAGCTATATTATGCCAGCTTATATATAGGTCATATCTCTGGAAGGCACAGTATGTGTCTGGTGCATTAGTAAACCTCCAGTGGGCCACACACAGGCTCTTTGTAGGGAAAAAAATGCATGGGTTAATGTATTGTGTATATACACACTGAGATAATAAACACCTTAAATTATTCTATGTAGGGGTTGCAGCAAAGCATTATGGACTAGTTATGGATAGAAAGGATCAAATCCAGCTCTTTTATTTTAATAAATAAATTGAGCTCTGCATTATTTCATGGAAATGTGATGTTAAAATTTACAAGCACTTGTTTAAGGGATAATTCTGACTTACATAGAAGATACTGGAAGATCTTTGTCCTTTGAAGGGACAGGAACAGATCCTCTAAAAACTTACAAACACTGACATTTGGGTGCCCTGTGGCTGAAAAACTGGCTCTCTGCTCTATCACACTAGAGTGAAACCTACTAGTCCACAAGCTCAATTTGCACACACACAGCTTCCAATAAGCTTTATATAGCCTTACCTATAAAGATGAGGGGACATAGAATGGAGACAGAAAAACAAAAACAGAAAATTTGGAGAAAATAGAGAATGCAGGTAGAGAAGAAAACTAAAATTAAACGAACAAATAAAAATTCCGTAATTCATGTCCTTACTGATAAGAGAAGATATAACACTGTATCAAGAACAGGATGCTGGAGGAGAAAGGACGAAGAGGAGAGGCACAGCAAAGAGGGAGAAAAAGAGAGATTAAAGGGGTAGGGAATGAGAGGAAGGGGAGAAGTAGTAGAACGGAAATGGAACGGGATACAGTGAGGAAGAAGAAGCAGGCAGTAAGAGAAGAAATAATGAGAAAACAAGAGCAAGCTCTTAGAAATTGAAAAAGTGATAGGCAATATTAAAATACAGTAATAAAGCAATACTTGCAGATCTTCTGGTCACAGCAGTTTCTCTCCTGCAGTGGCCTGCTCCCACTATTGCAAAATTCTATCCATGCCCTCTTTGCAGCCCACAATAATCTTTCCAAATAAAGCTTCTCCTTACTATATTAAAAAAAGAGTAATGGAAAGGGTGATTATCTCCTAAAAAAGTAAAAAGTAAAGAGATGTGCAACAGGAGAAAAAAGATGATTAAATCAGAGACCTCTTGTTTTCTCTAGAAAGTGAGACCTAACAACTATCAAAGGAATAATATAAGATACATTCCCAAGGTGTCTATCAGATACCCAGGAAAATGAAAAAAAAAAGGATGACACCACCTTGCATCACTGTGAAATTTCAGAGCACTACAGAGAAAGAGATCATTCTGATTCCAAAGCTTTCAGAAAGGGGGAGGGGTGAGTACAAAAGATTAAGACTAAGAATAGTATCATATTCTCATCAGAACTCTCTACCCAAATAATCAGTGTGTTGGTAGAATGCAAGTAGTTTTAGATATTCACAGAAATTACCTCTTATGTACCCATTTCTCATGAAGCTGCTGGAGAAAGTGTGCCACCAAAATGAGGATGTAAACCAAGAAAGAACATGGAATATAGGAAATAGGAGATTGAGTGCAGTAAAGAGTTAAAAATTTCTAGGGTTACAGCTGTGTAGCAAGCTTAGTAACTACCTATTTGGACTATAATAAAATGACAAAGAGCTCCATGAAAAAAACAGACTGACAGGTAATCTGATACATTTGGCAGAGTAGAAATTGTATCAAGAGGTTATGGGAGGAGTATAGGAAGATTTGCTCAGTTTCTTTATACCTATTCTAATGAGGAAAAAAAAACAGTTCTCTAGGAGAGGAAACATAATAGTAGTATAGTATATGTGACTCAGCAGCAAACTACACCAGAATCATAATTATTAAAACACAGAAATTGATCTATGCAAACATAGTAAAATAACTATATTGGGAGGATGGGAAAGCAGGAGGGAAGCAGAATCAATACGCTATAAGAGAACTTAAATCTCACCTATCAGTTTTCAGATTAGTGAATCTAAAGAAGACATTATGAATATAAATATAAATTGAGAAATGCGATAACACTGAAACATGTGGAGTTAAATACTGAAATACCAAAAAGACCTGAAGGAGACTATCTCTAGAGAGCAGAAGGGGGAAAGGCCAAAGAACACTTTTTAAAAACATATGCTTTTAAAAAGTGAGGTGAAATTCATATGACATAAAACTAACTGTTGTAAAGTGAACAATTCAGTAGCATGTAAGTACAGTCACCATGTTGTGCAACCACCACTATCTAGTCCTAAAGCATATCTAGTCCCACTGTTCCTAGTAGACTGGGCTCTAAGCCAGCTGAGTGGAGTCATTTTGGATTTTGTTTTCGTGTTTCTTTTGCTTCTCCTGACTTGGATAGGTCTCAGTTGCCAATACCTGATCTTCATTCTGAGCTAATCTTTTCTCAGACTGAGAAACATGTGTTGATTAGGTTTCTTGAAACATTGACTTGGAATATAAAACCACCTGTCATTCCAGAAAAAATACATTTCCTGTCATCAATGAATTACCATAAGAGGAAGCTCTGTACATTATACATTAGCAGTTCTGCCTTTCTCTGAACTCTGGCAACCACCAATCAGCTTTCTGCCTCTATAGATTTACCTATTTTAGTTTTCCATATAAATAAATGGATTCATATAGTATGTGATCTTTTGTGTCTTGCTTCTTTCACTTAACATGTTTTGAAGGTTCATTTATGTTGTACTATAAATCAGTCTTGTATTTCTTTTTATGGCTGAACAATATTTAATTATGTATATACATAATACACACACACACATAAACACCATAATTTGTCCATTCATCTGTTGATGGACTTTTGGGTTTCCACCTTTTGGCTACTGTGAATAATGCTGCCATGAACATGTGTATACATATTATCTGTTTGAGTATCTGTTTTCAGTTCTTTTAAGTACATATCTGGGAGTGGAAGTGCTGGGTCATATGGCAATTCAATGTTTAAATTTACCCATGTATTTACAGGTTTAACTAAACCCATAAATATATGTGGTCAACTGATCTTTAACAAGGTTGCTAAGACCATTCAATAGGGAAAAAAATAGTCTATTCAACAAATGGTGCTGGGACAACTGGACATTTACATGCAAAAAAATGAAGGTGGACCCCCTACCTCACACCAAATGAATGTTTACTTAGGATGGGTCAGAGGCCTGCAAATTAAGAGCTAAAATTTAAAACTCTTGAAGAAAATATAAAGATAAATCTCCAAATATACACACACACACATAAACACCATAATTTGTCCATTCATCTGTTGATGGACTTTTGGGTTTCCACCTTTTGGCTACTGTGAATAATGCTGCCATGAACATGTGTATACATATTATCTGTTTGAGTATCTGTTTTCAGTTCTTTTAAGTACATATCTGGGAGTGGAAGTGCTGGGTCAAATGTTTAAATTTACCCATGTATTTACAGGTTTAACTAAACCCATAAATATATGTGGTCAACTGATCTTTAACAAGGTTGCTAAGACCATTCAATAGGGAAAAAAATAGTCTATTCAACAAATGGTGCTGGGACAACTAGACATTTACATGCAAAAAAATGAAGGTGGACCCCCTACCTCACACCAAATGAATGTTTACTTAGGATGGGTCAGAGGCCTGCAAATTAAGAGCTAAAATTTAAAACTCTTGAAGAAAATATAAAGATAAATCTCCAAAATCTGGGTTTGGCAAGATTCTTAGATGGGCAACAAAAGCACAAGCAACAGAAGAAAAAACAGATAAACTGGAGTTGATCAAAATTAGAACTTGTGTTTCAAAATATATCATCAAAAAGTGAAAAGATAACCTACAAAAAATGGGAGAACATATTCACAAATGTTATCCCTGATAAGAGATATCTTCTTTCTATATATCTGAAATATATATAAAGAAATCTTAAAACTCAAAAAAAAAAGACAAGTTATCCAATTAAAATGGGCAAAGGATGTGACATTTCTTCAAGCAAGATATACATATGACCAATAGCATGTGAAAAATTGCTGAACATCATTAGTTATTATTAATGCAAAAATCAAAACCACAGTGAGGTATCATGTCACACCCACTAGGATAACTGTGAAAATAACAAGTGTTGGTGAGAGCAAGGATACAAAGACATAGAAACCCTCCCAAATTGCTAGTAGGAATGTAAATGATGCAGCTGTTGTGGAAAACAGTTTGGGAGTTTTTCAAAGAATTAAAACATAGAATTACCACATGACCCAGCAATACAAGAGAAATGAAAACATACATCCAGAGAGACTTGGACACAAATGTTTACAGGAGCATCATTCATAACAGCCAAAGAGCGAGAACAATCTACAAATGCCTGTCAACAGGAATGGATAACCTCATCATGGTGCATCCCTGTGACAGAATATCAAGTCATAAACAAATAAAATACTGATACATGTTAAAACTTGGATGAACCTTGAAAACATTATGTTAAGTGAAAGGAATTACATATAAAAGGTTTCACATTTAGGATCCCATTTATATGAACTATCCAGAATAAACAAATCCGAAGAGAAAGCATATAGTGGTTGTCTCAGGTGGGGGAAACTAGAATGGGGAGTGTTACTTAAATGGAATGGGGTGGTCTTGTGGTGTTTCAAAAGTTTGAAACTAAAGAGAAGTTGCGTAGCACTGTGAATGCCACTGAACTGTACACTTTAAAATAGTTAATTGCCTATTATGTGGATTTCATCTCCATTTTAAAGGGAATGAAATACTGACACATGCTGTATAAAGAACAAAACTTGAAAACATGCTGAAAGAAGAAACAAGCTGAAAGAAGCCAGTCAAAAAAAAAACATATATTATACGATTTTGTTCAGATGGAAGTCCAGAACAGGGAAAACTACAGAAACAGAAAGTAGACTAGTGGTTGCTCAGGGCTGGAGCCTAGTTATTAACAAGGGATGTAGGGTTCACAGCTAATGGCTTTAGGCTTTCTCTTTGAGGTAATGAAAGTGTTCTAAAAGCAGCTGTGGTAATGGTTGCAAATATCTGTGAGTATGCTAAAAACTAACTGTATACTTTAAATGGGTGAATTGTATGGTATGTGAATAATATTTCAATGAAGATGGTAAAAAATATAAAAGTTTTTGCCATATAACAATTGAATTAGTAATTTCCCACAAAACAACACCAAGCCCAAATAGATTCACTGCGTAATCTACAAGATATAAAATCAATACACAAAAATTGATTGTATTTATGTATACTAGCAACAAAAACTTCAGAAATAAAATCAAGATAATAATTCCATCACAGTAGCATAAAAAAGAATGAAATACTTAGGGAAAAAAGCATGAACTATAAAAGAAAGAAATGATAGATTAAACTTTATCAAAACTAAAAACTTGTAATTCAAATGACATCATTAAGAAAATGAAAAGATAAGCCACAAATTGAAAGTATTTGCAAATCACATGCACCTTGACTTGATAAAGAACTCCTACAACTTAATTTTAAAAAGTCAATTAAAGATGAGCAAACGATTTGAAAAGACAGTTCATCAAATATAAATAGCCATTAAGAACATGGAAAGATGCTCAACACCATTAATCATTAAGGAAATGCCATTTAAAACCACAAAATGAAATACCACCACACATTCACTAGAATGGCTATAATAACAAAGACAGTGCCATTTGTGACAAGATGGATGAACCTGGGGGACATTATGCTACATGAAAAAAGCCAAAAACAGGAAGACAGATACTGTCTGATCTTACTCACATGTGGAATCCAGAAGCAGAGGTAGAATGGTGGTTGCCAGAGGTTGAGGAGAAATGGGGAAGATACTGGTCCAAGGGTACAAACTTTCAGTTATAAACGAATAACTGAATGAGTAAGTTCTGGGGGTCTAATGTACAGAATGGTGACTATTGCTAATAATGCTGCATTGTATCTTTGAGATCTCAAGTGTTATCATTACACAGAAAAAAAGCTAACTGAGGTGATGAGTACATTAGCTTGACTGTAGTAATTTTAAAATGTATATCAAAATAATCATGTTGAATACCTTAAAAATATACATTGTTTTTGTCAATTTACCTCAATAAACCTGTTTAAAAAAAAAAAAGACAAGCTAAGTGTTGGTGAGAATTTAGAGAAACTTGAACCTTCATACATGAAAATGAGATGAGAATGTAAAATTGGTACAGCCACTTTAGTGGACAGTTTGGTAGTTTTTTAAAAAGTTACATATCAACTTAACATATGATCTAGCAATTCCACTTTTAGGAATCTACCCAAGAGAAATGAAAATATATACCGCACAAATATATGTATGAGAATAATATTCACAGCAGCATTATTTATAATAGCTGAAAACTTGAAACAATACAAATGTCCACCAGCTGGTAAATAGATATAATAATAATAATATGTAGTATACTCATACAATGGAATACTATTCAACTATTGATACATGCTACAACATGGATGGATGAATCTCAAAAGCCTTAGCTCAGTGAAAACAGCCAGATAAAAAAGAATATATAATATTTGATATCATTTATATGTCCAGAAACAGCAGATCTATAAAGACAGAAACAAATTATTGTTTGGCTGGCTTGGAAGTAAAAAATGGGGACTGATTACAGAGACATGAAAGAGTTTTTTGGGGTGATGTAAATGTTCTCAAACTGGATTTAAGTGATAGTTGTACAACTCTAAATTTACTAAAATTCATGTGTACTTAAAAAGGGTGAATTTTATGGTTTGTAAATTATACCTCAAGAATGCTGTTTCAAACACGAACTTTTTTAAAAACAGCTGGTAAGCACATATCTTATATATAATCCCTCTATCTATTAATCCTGTACAATTTCCTGTCAGAATGCTTTACCATACAGTGGCCTCTACTGGCCAAAAGGAGAGATTTTGATTAGTTGATCAGTAGTTGCTTTAAGTTTTTTTATATTTATAAACTATCTACTATATAAATTAGGTCACAGAAATGTCTTTCTGAAAGAGAATGCTTAGGATATAAAATCTGAATTGTGCACATTCAGAGGAAAGCAGATGGGACAGACTAAGAATGAAAGGACGTAAGAAGCAGAAGCAAACTCACTTGCTCTCAATCTAAGCTGCTGCTATGAATAAACCTAAGAATACTTAAGAAAAAGAATTACTCATTGAGCTAACTGACCTCCCCAAGTCAATCAGTGCAGGAGCACATTCACAGAAAGATATAAGTGGAAAGCCCGTTATTACAGGTTTTGCTATATAAATAAAATGTAGACTAAAAAAGTCACTTGATTCTTTCACCTTTGGAGGGTAGAATAGCATAATGATTAGAAGAGCTTAGAAGTTAGCTTGGATTGAACTTCTGGCTCCAACATTTACTCTCTCACTATGTGACCTTGGGGTTATTATTTAATTCATCAATGTATCAGTCTTCATTTTTATAAACTGGAGAAAACATTTTATCTCAAAGCATTGTTGGGGGTGCTTAAGTCATAGTAATCATACAACACATATTAGCTATAATTATTATTTCAGTTTAGAAACTGATAACAGATTTTTATTTTAAATGATCTGTTAGTTCAAAATACTACATATTTATGATTCAAATTTACCAAACATTTTATTAAGCAATCTAGTATGTCCAAAGCATCTTGTTTAAGCTTTGAAACACTAAAATACTAAAGAAACTGTTGAAAATTATTAAATAGCTAACTATTCATTAACATAGAAAGATATACTAAATGAAAAAGATTACCTAGTAATGCTATAATCACACATATATATTTATATACATTCACAGAAACATGTATGACTCAGCATAAAAACCAACTGATGATAATCTCTCAGTAGTGCAATAAAGACAAATTTTATTTATTTTACTTTTTCTTAAGTGTATTTTCTTATTTTTGTGTCATGAATATTTAACACTACTATAAAAAAAAAAGGAAAAGTTGAGAGAACTCTATCATTAGTAACATCAGACACAGACTGGCTCAGGCAGTATATGGGCCATTAGTATCCTGGATTTGAACCCAAAAGCAAGACCTACAGGGCAGAGAACACACTGTGACCTTCAATTAAAACAGAAGAAAGAATGAATAACATTTATAACTCATTAAATGAGAGAATCTTTAGAATATTCAATGCTTTAAAGTACTGCTTCTAATAAATACAGGTGTTAATTAACTTAACACTTGGAGTAGTGCTCTAAGAGTAGAAAACAGAAAGAATTACCCTTAAATATTTTTGCCACAGTTAGAGGTACATAAGCATAACAGAAAATTATGCAAAGGTTCTTTTGGTTAGGGATTCCACAAAAAGCAGGGTCACTGGGACAAGGGAGAGGGCTGGTGTTTTCTATTAAAATAACATTAAGATTGAAGCATGACCTTGCCCTCAATAAGTGAGCTGCAGCTGAGTTCAGGACCTCCTGTGACCCAGGTATTACTGGAAATGATATATTGGCCCAACTGATACAAATGAAGCCCACCTAGATTCTTTTTGAATTATCTCTCCATTCCCATATCTTACTAGCTTTTCAGTCACACGAAAAGGAAATTCTGACATCTCCCCATTTGTTGAAGTAGAAGGGACAGCAGACGTTAACAGTGAGAATCACCTTCCCAAAACTATATGCTTTTCAACATCAATAGCCACTAAGGTTCTACTGCTACAAACACTAATGGGTCTTGATTATTTGGAAGGAATAAAGCAAAATGTTAGAACTAAATTTTCCTTAAACAATCAGTAAATTAATAAAGTTGAAAACTCACCTGAAAATATCTTTACAAAATCATCAGTAGACATGCTCATCACCACATCTGCTTGATCAGAGGGCTCTCCATACCCAACATTCCCACCCTTGGTCTTAAGATCAAGAAACCAAGTTCCACCATCTTCACCTACACAAAATACAGAGAAATAGAATTAAATGCCAAAGAAGCCCTGGTCTTAAACTGAATAATAGCTACAATCAGAATAATCTTAAATAATGCTGTTTCCCAGGTTAAAATCCTCAGGCTCTATACAATCTTTACTAAGCAAATCTTTACTAAGTATTTATCATGTGCCAGGCACTAGGCCAAGCTCTGAAGATTGCAATGATATGGTTCTTACAAAAGAGGAAATGCAGTGGGAGTCAGGCAAGCCCAACGAAGCTGAGGTTTAAAAGCAAGAATTAGCCAGCAAAGTACAGTAGGACTAGAAGGTAGACACAGAGAGTGGATAGTAGTAGAAAGGAGCTTGTAAAGCAGTCCAGATGCAGAGCATCATGAGCCATGCAAAGGACATACTGATTTCATCCTAAGGACTATGCCACAAAAGGAGAATGACATAGGTTGCTACTTCAAAGAGACCAACAACAGCAGTGTAGAGAGTGTGTTGGAGAGGGATAAAGAGGATGTAGAAGACTAGTTAGGGTAGTGCTGGGACAATTTCGGGGCTTGAGGATGTGTGCCTGGATTAGGATTGTGGCAGTGGAAGTGGAGAAAAGCAGGCATAGTGGAGAGATAATTTCAAAGCAAAACCACCAAAAGACTAGATAATTGATTGAACATGATGAGGAGAAAGGTAGAAAGGTGCGTAAAAATTATATGCTAGTTTTTGGCTTGGGGAAACTTGATAAATATTGGTGTATCTTTGCCCAAGAGAGGACTACTGAAGAAGAGCAGATTTAATAGGCAGTGCCAAAGATAGGTACTGGGAATGGTGACTTGTAGACATTTTTCAGGTTGCAGCAGCTTTGTGACAGCCAAGTGAAGATGTCAAATGAAGTCTGATGAGGCTAGAAACACAGATACACATGTCATCAGCTTGCATGGTCATTGAAGCCATAAGAGTGGTCAGGGCTTCCTAGAGAAACTGTAGGGTATAAAGAGCACTCAGACAATGATCTGAAGATCATTTAGGGAAGGACAGGGGAGAAGAATCTAGTACAGGAGACTGATAAGGCATGACTACAAACAAGGAAAGTTATTGTCGGGGAGCCAATGAAAGCGACCATTTCCAGAAGGAAAGAGTGGTTGAAAGCATCAAATGCTGTAGAGTAGTGACAAGGAAAGAACGTCAGCTGCCCACTGGTGATACAGAAGTCACTGAGGACCATGGTGAGAGCAAATTCAGTGGAATGGGGAAAAATGAAACCAGAGCTGACTGACCCGTTGATGAAAATTACATTTGGTTCTAGAGGAGAGAACAAAGGTGAGGGTGTAAGTGGGGCCAGGAAGGGGGGTGGGGATGGTGTTGTGTTTCATTTTAAAGACAGAATAGACTGAGAATGTCAAAGTACCACTGAGAATGGAAGGAAGGAAGCTGTAGGATGAACAGGTAGAAGACGGGCAAAATTAACAGCATGAAGTCCCTGAGAAGGCCAGGGAAAAGGGATCTTGAATTTTGCTACTAAAAGTGTGATCCGTGAACCACAGTACTGTCATCACCTGTCACAAAGGCAGGATTCAGACCCCATCTCAGACCTGCTAAACCAGAGTCTGCTGTTTAGCATGATCACAGGTGATCAGTATGAACAGTAAAGCCTAAGATGCATGGATCTAGAGTTGAGCTCTCTTCTACTGGGAGGGGAGGAAGAGAGGACGATGCTTATAATGGCTGATTTGGTATCAGATGGCAGTTTGTCTGTAGGACAATATCATCTCTGTGAAAGAGGAGGTGGGATTATCTGCTGAAACTGGCAGGGCAGGAAAGGTGGGAAATCTGAGGAGCCCTGAAAAGGTTTAAATAGTCACTGTGGAAAATGCGGCAGTAAACTGACCACAGAAATACAGAATTCAGACATGCTGATTAGACCTCAGCTGAAGGATGGTAACGATGAACTCTGCTGGTATAGATCCACTGGGTGGTGTGGTGATGATTTCTTTTTCTCTGTCTCTCATTTCTCCAGCAGGACTTAGCCGCTACAGTGGAGCAGCCAGACAGTGTGATTCATCTAGAGCTAGGGTGTAGAGGTAGTAATATAAGCACAAAAGGAATATGTCTGATAAGCTGAGGTGTTTATGAAACAAAGTAGGATATTTTCCCTTGGAAAAAAAAAAATCAGCCTCCAGGAGTAATCAATCGCCTTGATTTTTGGCTGTATCCAGAATCCTTACCCTGGAATGTAGACATTCAGGATAGCAAATAATTACTGATTTGTATTTTTAAGTTATGATCAGTGCATATGGACACATGTCAAATAAAATTTCATTACAGATACTTCCAGTGTTAAATAACTCCTTGGCATATGTAACTAGGGAAAATTCTATTTAGAAGAGCACATGCGTATGGATCATGACAGGTAGTGCAGTAGAGTAATTTATCAACCACCAGCACCTTGCCATTTTTGCCTTTGAGATAATTCAAGTTAGTCTGAATGTAGTCAGCTTTTTAAAACCTTTCAGTATTTTTCTACTCAATATAGTGTTAACACGTTAATGATAGTTTTAAGAACTACCTACCTCAGTCTTTGACATTATCAGTTCTTTCAGACATAATCCTTACCTGAGAGTTCAAACTGATAGATTGCTTGAATGGCTTTAACAACATCATCATTGACAGAGTCCATAACAATTCTAAATGTTTCTTCCACAGCTCCAGAAGGGGATTTTGCTGGTGGCTGTGGCTTCTCTTCTTTCAACTCTGGAACAGCACCTATAAAATACTATCACTATAAATGGCTTTAAAGCCTAGGCAGTGTTAAGGCTACACTCAGAAATAATTACTTAGCAGAACAGACTTGCTACCAGTTAGACCTCTTTGACCAGAATGACCTTAAACACATTCAATGGCAATTAAAGGCATAAATCAAACTGATGGGATAACAGCCAAACTCATCAGTTAAGATTTTAAAATTAAATAGTTTATACTCTCCAAGTAGAAGAGTGATGCTCCAAATAGGTTGGAAAAAACCCAACCACTATTAAACTATACAATGTTTATAATAAACACACTTAGACATACTATTGGAGTTTTAGGGGTAATAATTAATCACTCCTTTATCATCCCCTCTGAGTTCTAAAATCAAGTGAAAAAAGAAGACAGTAGAGTCAGAAAGATGGAGATGAGCATATCAGCTGTGTAATCAGTCATGCCGGACTGGAGACTGTAGCTTGAATCAACAGCCAAGTGAACTTCTTCATAATTTTACCTCTAAATGAAATTTCTTCACCTAGTCCCTTCATCCCTGGACTAAACAGGCCTCCTCCTATCAGGGATTAGAAATGCAACTGCAAGTAAATAGGTATCATGTGGAATCAAGAGAGCCTTCTCAGAAAGAACGCACACTCCTAAGAGTAAACCACTCTGCTAATCATCCATTTAGTGATCTCCTACAGAAGGTCCCAACTTACAATGGCTCAATTTATGGTTTTTTGACTTAATGATGGTGAAAGCAATATGCATTCAGTAGAAAGCACACTACAAATTTTGAATTTTATCTTTCCCCATAGTGATATGTGGTACAATACTCTCTGTGATTCTGGGCAGTAGCAGTGAGCCAAAGCTCCTAGTCAGTCATACAATTATGGGGGTCAACAACTGATACAACTCTTCTGTACCCATACAACCAATTGTTTTTTACTTGCAGTACAGTTTTCAATAAACTACATGAGATATTCAACACTTTATTATAAAATAGGCATTGTATTAGATGGTTTTGCCCAACTATAGGCTAATGTAATTGTTCTGAGAATGTTTAAGGTTGGCTAGGTTAAGCTATGATGTTCAGTAGGTTAGGTGTATTAAATGCATCTCCGGCACTGTACGGGGAAGAAGCTTTAGCCAAAGGAAGCTGACTCCTCTGACCTCAAGGGTAAGGGCATCCTTTACATGGAGATGGAAATATGGATTGCAGTCAATGCACTTGACATATCTGATCCCACAAGCAGAACCACTGCAATCAAAGCATGATGACAATAAACACTACATTTTACTTACCTAATTGCTATTGTTCTAATTCCATGGTCACAAAACCACCTTCTGATTATGATGCTGAACCCTAGGTAATTACACCCAAAGGGAGAGAATAGGCTGACCATGGCAAGTACATGTTTAGTCCATGAGATGGCAACTGCTCCCTATAAATTAATAAATTGGATTACAGGGATGGAGGGAGGATATGCTAATTTAAAGGACTTTTAAGTATTCAGGAGTTAGAAAAGCAATTTAAATTTACTGGTTAAGGATATGGGCTTTGTAATTCAAGAAATAATGAATTTAAATCCTGACTCTACCATCTTCCAGCTGTATGATCTCAGATGGAAAATGGGATAATACCCATCTTATAGGACTGATAAAGTATTAAATGAGACAAAGCATGCAGAGTACAGCTGACCCTGGAACAACTCAGGGGTCAGGAACAATACCCCTCTACACAGTCAAAAATTCTCTCAATATTTTTCAAATTTTCTATAATAAAAAGTTGCCTTTTTTATTCCCTGATTTTTTTAACTATTTAAAAAATTTTGGACAAAGGAAAAATGAAGATAAGATTAAGCCATAAATAGGGTTTGGCACTAAAATGCATTGTAGTAAAGTTCTGTAAGTTTGTTAAAAAGGTATAGAGGAAATTTGTTCCTAAATTTTCTAGTAGCTATTTAAAGAAAATCTGTGATCACTTAGAAGATTCACGGTGTCTATAAGACAAAAATAAGGGAAAGGTCCTGGAGAGAAGCTCATCTATTCTTGTTAATAAACCATGAGAGAAATTCTTTTAAAGGGTATTGCTAAGCAGTGTTTCTTCTGACATCTTTTCAGTAAGCTAGTGGCATAATGCCAGAACACAAAGGCTAAAATGTAAACTCGGGGCCAATTCAAGGGGAATACTGTTTCTGAATTATTAAAACAAAGCAAAGTAAAGCCAAAACCTCCTTTAAAGTTAATTTGTCCCATAAAGTAGTCACAGCATAAATTCTGGAATGGTGTTAGATGTGTTTTGATGTGACACATTTTTTACTCAGAATAAAATAACACATCAAATTGAAATACCTAAAAGCAGTGTCAAGGAAAATAAATAAAATCTTTAAAAAAAGGATTTGGTTTTTTGTAAGGTAACTTTTTTTTTTAATCAAATGAAAAGCGTATCTTACTGGTAAAAGGAAAAGACAACTTTCTTTGCTAGAATTACAAAATGGTTTAAAAGCAGAAGGCAGAAATGTCCAATTCTATATTTTGGGAGAAATACAAAAGCTAGTATCTTTATTTTCCTACATAAAATATAGTCTACATCTTACCATGTGATTCCATTTTCTTGGTATTTGTATCTGGGTATTCATCCAAGAAGAAATCTGGTAACAAAGGATGGCCTGAAAAATTGACCCCCAAAATAATCAGGTTCCTGTAACAACTTCAGTATATTAATATTTTAACACCTGTTTAATAAACATTATATCTGTTTTTATTTTAATGATCATTCTGGTGCAATGGAAAAGATTCTTTCAAACTACGTGACCTTCATGAAGCTAAAATACTTTTCCCATAGGCAGTTATCCTCTTCTATGGCAAATTTCATCTTTAAAATCCAACCAGAGTCAGCTGCTAACGTTAAGCCCTTAACTGCTCTTCCAGGAGCCTTTGCCCCCACACTTATCCATGCAACTCTTCTGTCCTATATCCCCCGAAGGTGCTCAGCACTCACTTCTTACCTGGGCCCCTAAGAGAAGGGGGTTTCTCATTAAGATGGACTTGTTTCCTATCTCTGTCTCTGTCTGTCTGTCTCAGAAGATTAAAAAAACTGGAGATCAGGAATGAGCTGGGTTTTGTTACATACTAACAACTATCATAGTACCTAGTCATATTAAGTTTTCAAAGTTTGATAGGATTTTTAATTTAAATCAAATTAAAATTTTTATGCCCAATGACACTGTGTTTTTAAAATTTTTAAATATTAATTATACTGTACCAGGACCCAGAAGACCTGGATCTAGTCAGGTTCTGCCACTTATTAGCCAACTGCTCTTAGGCAAAGGCTTAATCTCTTTAAGCCTGTTTTTCTTCTGTAAATATTAACTACTGAATGCTGTGATTGTACCATATGTCAGGCACTGTGCCAAGCACATTATACACATTACTGCATTTACTTCTTAAAAAACCCTGTGTGGAAAGTATCATTCCCTTAATTTTACCAATAAGGAAAGTGAGGCTCACAGAAAATGGATGATATGCCTGAAATCGTACAGTTAGTGATTGGGAGCAGCTGAGCTGGAATCTGAACAACCTGGGTTATCTCCTCACAAATTCCGTGTTTTTAATCATTAAATAATATTGCTTCCCTTACAAGAATTGCTATGAAGGCTTAATAGATAATGTATGTAAGTGCTTTATGAACTACGAAGAGCCATTTAATTCAATTCAGTTCAAAGTGAAAGACAGGGATGATACTAATATAAATATGTCATTTCTGTCATCTAGAAGCTTAACTGAATGAATAATATTTAAAATATGCTTTAGCATAATATACTCCTCATTTATGGCTATATTATATTATTTAGTACATACTATATCATACATAAAATAAAAATAAATTATCACCACCATGATCTGTAACTTCAGAGAGGAATGATTTTTAAACAGTAGGGCCTTCTGAGAACTTCTCAAATCACACCCTTGTACACACGACAGACCTTGTTCACTTTCACCATCTCTCTTTAAGCTACTCTAAGAGACTGCACTGAAAAGACAAACATTTGGAAAGTCTATAATCTTAAAAGGGTTTTGCAAGAATATTATCATCTGTTACCAGACTCTTGAATAAAATCTTTACTCTGTGATTTTAAGACCAACTTTAAAAACTAATTTTCTTTTTTTTTGTTTCAAGATTTAGAAATGGCTTAATAGCTGTGACCTTCTATATCCATTTATCGCTTAAAAACCCCTCTATTCATTTCTATCCTTCCTTTCTCGCTTTTTTAAAGTTGTGTCAGTACAGGTTTTTCCCTTCATTGAATGGACAGCTTTTAAAAAAACATTAAATTATAATCCCACAAACACACACACACAAAACAGATGTGTATTCACTGCAGAAAATGCGGAAAAACAAGTCACTCCTTTAAAAACTGACAGCATTACCTGGTTTAACTGCATAGATGTCAAAATTCTTTATTCCTTCTTCTTTTAAGATATTTTCATCAATAATAAAGTTGCCAGTAAAACTTTTTGGCTTTTTGAAAATGGAATATGCAGCATCTGCAATGATGTCAACTTTTCTACACTGGTTTTCGATACCAGATCCTCCCAGCATATCCATTGCAGCAGTGTGTATGGCTGCAGAGGAAACAGACATACACATACATTAACTCCGAATCAAAGAATAGGACCGTGCAAGTAACAAGCAAGACAGCTAATCTCGTTATTTCTCAGGTAATGAAAACAAGGTCCAGGGAGCTTAAGGGATTTGCCAAATGTTCTACTGACTTAACAGGGTACACATGGACCTTACTCTACACGATACTGCCTTTACAGAACTCCTTCATGAGACTCACGGCAAAATTCATTCAACTTCTGGTTTAGAATGCTCAAGTATCTGCGTACTACTCTTGAGAGTCAAGAAAGTCAGTATGGTACAACAGAAAGAGCACTGAGCTGTAAGTCAGGTGAGTAGGATTTTTGTACCAGCTATGCCATGATTTTTGGCAAGCTACATTGGCATCGCTGGGCCTCAGTCTCCTGCCTCTAAAATATGGAGCTTCTTTCTTAAGTTTATCATCTCTCGTTCCCTTCTACTAAAATGTAGAGTCTTTGTTCATTGTGTATGCTCAGCACTGAAAACAGTAAGAATCGCACCTTAAGCCAACAATAAATAGTAGTTGCATTTTGGGGCCCCCTTTAATTCAGATACTACTTTTATGTAGGAAATACTATAAAATTAAGAGAATCAAAAGGAAGAATTTTTGAAGTACTTACAATCCTCCTACCCAGAGATAATCACTATTAATATTTGCATATAGTTTTCACTGTTTTAGGTGTATATTTTAATCTGTTTATGAAATAATTTGAGACTCTACAATAGTACACTACTAATTATACATTGTCAAAACTGTGAACAGTACCTTACTCATTTACTTACATGTACCTTAGCTTATATTTAAAGCAATGAAAGTCAATTTGTTTAACTGTACTTTAGGTTTCAGAGTTTCTAGTAATTTAGATAACTTCAAACCATTGTTGAATCATCATTTAAAATCATCACATACTGAAATAACTTATATAATTCAGTCCGCAAGATGAGAAGTTTTGTCATTATTAAGAGCCACTGTTCCCTTTTCCATGCATTCAACAAACAGTTACTGAGCACTTACACTGCTCAGGGAAGCACTATTGTAGGGACTGCAGACAAATGCATGGACAAAACAGACAAAAAGCCCCTCCCTTCATGGCAATTACATTCTAACACACATCCCTGTTTCAAAGAGTACACAATGAACTTGGGGAATTTCCTAAAAGTTAGGAAGTTAGAAAATAACATCTCTACTTTATATCTAAAGTTCCTTTATTAGGAGGAAGTTTACTCACCCAATGTTTAAAGACCTCTTATCTTGCTCTTGAAGTGATTATCTTACTAATACAAAATAGCAGCTAATATTTATTAAGTGTGCATCTTTTGCTGGGTATGCCGCTGTATATAGTTCATACACATTATCTGAATGAATTCTGTAAGGTAAGTACTGTTATTATTCCCATTCACAGATGAAAGCACTGAGGCCAGCGGGGTTAAGTAACTTATCCAAGGTTACAGGAGCTAGAATTCAAATACCTGGCAGCTTGACTTCAGGGCCAGGATTTCAGCCACCGTGTGTGACCAATGGGTCATCCTTTGTTAACCAACATTCTCAGAGTTACCATCTCACTCCCATGAACTGCAAAATTTTTCTGTAAATATTTCCATATAGTCCCCATTGAGACTGTATGCATAATATACACCCTAGTCTCAGAGTAGACTATATGAAGGGTATAAGAATTCTTCAAGATTCTAAATTAAGAATATGTCATATATGTATATGTGTCATGTGTGTTTCTATGTGTAGACGCACACATACAACATAAGAACAAGGAATGACTTCCCCAAACAACCTACCTTTCCTTTAATGATCTTTCTATGGGTGATACAAAGAAGGCCTAAATAGACAGTCAAAATCAGGAAGTGAGTCATAACATTATTCTTAGCAAGATTTTGGAATGCCATAGACTAACCCAACACGTTGTAAAACTGATAAGAGTAAAAACAGATTAACAATAGGACTGATCAAATGAAATTCACTGATTTCTGGGAAAGAAAACAGAAATATTTGTAATGAAATCTGATATACCTCAGATCATACGAATTCTAAAGGTGACCCTAAAGCCTAAGTATTAAGGAATAACTGAAGAAGTACCTAAAAGCTTCTGGTTGATTCTCCTGATTACAAGATGCTCAAACAGTAACAAGAGTCTTAGATCAAGCAAAGATTTTCTTCCACATAAACATATAGAGTTCATGTCAGGCTTAAAATATCAGCATTGCCTTTGACTCCTTCTACTCTGGGGAGCTTGAGCCATCTCTTTAAACCTGCCGGTCCCCACCAAGCACACGCATGTATTCTTGTGTGTACTCACTGAATCGAAGATACACTGATTATAAAGTGTACCAATAAGGAAAAACACCTGCCAATTAACTGATGGTGCATTGTCAATTGTAAGAGCATCCTGATATCAAAGCTTTAAAAATGTGAAAACAAAGGCATCTCAGAATCAATGAAATATGGTATAAACTGCTGTTTAAAGGCTGCTACCTTGCCACCTTGCCATCCCTGGTTAGCTAAGTTCTCGTGTCTATCTGTAATGTGGTCCAGGGGACAGAGGACTGCAGCTCTTCTGTTTTGCTGCTTTTTGTTATCTTTACTGTTGTTACCTTTCTCTCTGCTGCCAGTATCAAGATGAGTAGCTGCCACTCCCAGACTCCTCACCCCAGCCCACATTCAATCTATCCCAAAATGGACTGTCCTCTTCTACCACACTTGTTCTGACCAGTCAAGAGGAAGCAGGCGTTTTGAACAGCAGCCCTCATCCCTCCCTCCTCCACATCTCCATTTCAGCAGAAACTATTAAATAAGTCTTATAAAAAGAAAAATTATACTTCTGAAGGTGACCTAGTTGGGACCTGAGATCCTCTTGTTGTGAAACTACTGAAGATCTGCTCTCTGATCCTTCCTCTGGATGTGTTGAATTCAGTGGGGTGAAAGTTCTGGACCAGAACTGAGTAATGTAGCCAGTGTGAAGAAGAAACATTGAGCCAGAGAGGACCAACAGTAGACTGGGACACTGTTTTGACCATCGATAATATATGTTACACTGTATCCATTCCATTAACTGCAATAAATCTCCTTTTCCTTGAAGGGCAATAATGTTGGGAGATTACTTCTGGTTCCAACAAGCATACAGAGAGAGCCACTCTACACAGTCTAGGAAGAGAAACAAGTTTTTTAAATAGAGGTCTCACAAACAGCCAGAAACCTGGACACACTCTCAAATCCATTTTTATTGCCTTAGTCATGAATAATGTAATATTCTAGCCAGCTTTCCTGCCTCTTCTATCTTACAAACCATCCAATATTCAGAGCCAAATGAAACTTCCTAAACCTCATTAACAGCCATATCATTCCACTGCTCCTATTTTCCCTCTGCTTATTATTGTACTCCTGCCTCTAAAATTCTAAAGTGGCTCTCTACTGAATCTAGTTTAAAATTTAAGCTCCTAAACTTGGCAACCAAGACTTGAGGCTTAGCTCATCCATCTCCTCTCACAACCTCACACCCACCCAACATTCCAGTCAATATGAACTACTTGCAATTGCTCAAGTTCAGTAGAAAATTTTTTAAAAACCCACATCCTAACACACATACCTCATATCAAATTCCTTATACTTTCTACTAAACACAGCATTTTCCTATACTGCAGTCTTTATTTTTGCCTTTGCCAGGAATGCCTTGCCCAATTCTCCTTCCTGCTAATTCCAACATTTCCTTGAGGTCTTATTCCAATTGTTTACCAACATTCAAAAACTTTCTTTCCTGACCATTAATCTGAGGTACATGGCCTTCCTCCTATATATCGAAAGTATCCCCATACATAAGTCATGTCGTATATCACAAGGAACATGACTGTAAATTCAACTTACTGTGCCATCAAGTCTACAACCCAAATGATACCAATAGTTTCAAGATATCTAGTAAACCTTCTAAAACGAGTATCTCAAAGTTAAAGCAAAGATCTCAGCAGCAAGCTGATGGCTCCTGCTGATCCTGATAATACATATTCCCTGTCATAGAATGTTCTTTCCCTTTCTTATATAAGTTTTATTCAGAATGTCTGTTTTGGAGCAAGGCAGAAGGTCATACCAGACACTCATTCATCCATTCATCAAATAGTTACCAAGTATCTACAATGACTACAATAAAAAGAACAAAGCAGATACTGTCTCTACCTTCAAGAAACTTTCATTCTAGCAAGAAAGACATTAAACAACTAAGTAATAAAATCAACAGTTTAATTACAAACGTTGCAAGTGATGTCAAGGAAATGTACAGACTACTACATTCAATGGTCAGTCCCCATTTTATAAGAACTATCAGCAGCACTTGACAGTCAATCACTCCTTTCTTCCTTGAAACACCTGCCTCAACTGGCTTTCAGGACATCCCACTCTTTGATTTTCTTCCTACCTTACTCTCCTATGCGTATTGTTCTTCCCAATCTCTTCATGTTGCAATGGCTAATGGCCGTTTTTCTTCTTACCATCTATATATCATGATAATCCACAAATTTCTATTATCAACCTGGACCTCTCTCCTGAGCAAGTACACAGCCCAATGACCCTCTCCACTTGGATGCACAAACATAATGCCCCAAACTGAATTCCTAACCTTGCTCCCTAATTTGCCTTATCTGCAGCTTTCCCTATCTAGGTTGAAGGCAACTCCATCATTCCAGCTACTCAAGCCAAAAATCTTGGGAGTCAACCTTGACTCTTCTTTTTTTCTTACATCCCATATCCAGTTCATCAGCAGATCTTGTTGGCTGCACCTTCACAAAATACAGAAAGGTCTGACACCCTCCACTACCTTTACTGCTGTGACTGCCTAACTAACTGCAGTAGCCCCCAAACTGGTCTGTTTCTCCCCTTGCCGCCCCTCCCAAGAATCTATTCTCAACAGACCAGCCCAATAGGTCCTTTAAAATTTTTAAGTTTGATCAGGACCCTCCTTCTGCTCAAAGCCCTGCAAAAGCTCCCTATTTTACTTAAGAGTGGAAACCTAAATCTTGGCAAAAATCTGAAACATCTGAACCTCATTTCCTCATGAGTATCATCTCATCATTTTCTACTCCTCAGCCCTCACTCCAGCCACACTGGCCTTCTCCTACTCTTTCATCACGCTAAGCATGCTCACCTCATGGTATCTTTATACTGGCTACTTCCTCTGCCTTTCATACTTTTCCCTCTGGTACTCCATGGCTAACATATCCCCAAGACTAACTCCACACCCCCTTTAAGTCTATGCTCAAATGTCACCTTCCCAAAAAGACCAAACCTTTCTACCCTATTTATAATTGCAACCTACCCTCCCCATCACCTAAGACTACCAATCCCCTAACTTTGTTCTATTTTATCCCATAGCATTATCACCTTCTGGCATACTATACGCTTTATTTATCATTATATTAACTGTCTGTAGTATCTCTCCCCTAAGGGCAGAGATTCTTATCTATTTTGTTCTCTGTTGTATCTTAAACAACTACAATAGAGCTTGGCATATAATAGGTGTCCAATAAATATTTGTTGTATAAATAAAACCTAAGAATCTTAGAGTCAGACTAGGCTTTTTCTAACTTTGTTACCCCAGGATCCCAAAGACTAAAGGTTAGCGGAGTGAAGGAGAGGAGGATAGGACTAAGTGCAAGAGTAATAACAAACTCCTTGACCTTCCTCCACACTAAATGGTAAGACCGAAGGTAAGGACTGCATCACATTCACCTGAGCACCCCTAATGTCTTGTACACAGTAGACACTTTATCAAGTACCTATTGAATGCACAATGAATAAACAGTGTAGAGAACTGTGTCTGGCATATAAAAATGTTTGGAAGGTAAATGAATACAAAGTGACAAGTAACATAATAGAGGTAGCAACAGGAAAAATGCTCTGTCAGGACTTGGTTATCTCAGAGACCTCCCTTTCTAACTGCCTGATTGTCACTATCAACTCTAGTAATTGTCACTATCAACTCCAGTCACTATCAACTCTGTGATTAAAGTGGGAGGAGGAGGTTGAGAAAGGACACAGAAGGAAAGGAAGTTGAAAAAGAGAGGCACAGTAAAGTGTGAGCCTTTAAATTTTCAACTGTGATCCATAAGTCACTTTTACCAACAAGATTAAGAATACATAATAGATATACACTCACAAATATATATATTTCACATATTTATATATGACACTTGTACATGAATCAAAAGCTTATGAAACAATACTTACTATGTGCAATGTTCTCTAATTTTCTATTTTCTTCCATTAGAAATAAAACAACTAAATTCTGGCTTCTCCCTACTAAATCAGTTTCACAATCCACTAAATTGATTTCACATCTAATTAAATTGATTGCGTGCCTCAACAATGACTGACATGTAGTTTGTAAAATCCTGCAGACGCACTTTCTCTATACTCGTCTTTTGCCCCATTGCAAAGAATATCCCTCTCCAGAAAAATCTTTAAAGAACTGCATCTGTTACGGAAACATAACGGAAACAAGCAATTAAATATGGTTCTAATCCCACAGTGGGTCCAGGAATAAAGGAATCTTGGTCAAACTGCAAAGGAAAGGAATTTTTAAATACTGATTCCTGGAGTCTAGAAAAAAAGAAAGATGGTGACTACAGAGTTGGGTGCAATGGCTACTACATCTTCCTCAGAGTTACATTAGCAACATGCTCTCGTGCTCCAGAAAGAAATCGGCGGCAAGAAAAAAAATCCAAAATGTAACTACTGTAGATTAAAAGCCAAAATTTATGAACCACTAAGGGTAAAAACAATGTGCTTTATTTATTCTCTAACAGTTCCAAGTTTGAAACATGACAAATGTAATGTGTGGAAATTACTTAGATCCTGATTTGAATAAATCAACTGCAGAGAAAACATTTTAGACACTTGAGGAAGTCAGAACACTGACTGGGTATTTGATAACAGTAAGGTATTAGTATTAATGATTTTTAGCTATAATAATGATTTTATGGGTTTTTTTAAAGAGCCTATTATTTCAAAGACACATATTGAAGTATATACAAATGAAATGATAGTATGACTTGGATTTGCTTTAATATAATCCAATGGGGGTACAAATGGGGATGAAGGGGGATGGAGGCAGGTGCACTGATGAAATAAACTGGCTAGGTGTTGAAAAATGGTTGAATCTGAATAGTACATGGTATAATATTCTACTTGCATATATGTTTGTGTATATGTTTGAAATTTTTCATAATTCAATGTTTGAAAATTAGGTAAAAAGGGAGGTTAGGGATTATTTAATTCCTAATTTTATACAAGGGGCACTAAGCCCAGAGAGCTACTGCTGTTCAAAAAGTAAGTAAGAACAGTATGGCCGATATGAAAACTGATTGGTTTCAAATACTAACAGTATTTTGGACATTAATGAAAATGTGTTGTATCATTTCTTACCCTAACCAGATTGAATGGTGACTTGAGAATCTGGAGAATAGATTAAATGTTAAGAAAAAATAAATAAAATGTGATTCTGAGAATACAAAAGCCCAAAGGATCTCAAAGAAAAGATACTGACTGAGTTAATTTGGAAAATTTTAACTTTACAATCAAGAGCACACACATCTGAAGAGTACCTAAGTGGACTGCTTCTCTGATTGTACTATATTTACGTGATTTTATTTGTCCAAACAAAATTTATGAACCACTAAGGGTAAAAACAATGTGCTTTATTTATTCTCTAACAGTTCCAAGTTTGAGACATGACTAAAAAAAACATTTGAACTTTAATAAATCTAAAGAGAAGGCAAATAGTGAATCTGTGGCATCTTATTACACTGATGGACAGTAACTGCAATGCGGTATGGGTGGCGACTTGATAATATGGGTAAATGTAGTAATGACATTGTTTTTTCATCTGAAACCTTCATAAGAGTAAATATCAATAATACCTTAATAAAAAGTAACTTAATTAATTTAAAAAATAAGTCTAACAGAGTTTACACAAAGATTTTATGGTAGTTCAATATGAAAGTAACCAATTTGCCAAATCCACTTACTGGATAGAAACATTTCCAACAAATCAATTAAAAGCTTACTGCTTTAACCATCACCTTTAATACTCATGCAGCATCATTTAGCAGAAAGGATGCAAAAAGCGCAGTAAAAAACAAAAAATGAGCAAAAAAAAAAGAACTGGAAGAAACTGTGTATGTTTAATGACACAAAAGCATTCATATTATTGCCAAGAAGTATGCCTGCTATCGTTGTTATAATTCAACACTGTTCTAAAAATATTAGATAACTTGATAAGAAGTGAAGAAAATTTTTATACTAACAGGGCAAAGACATAATTATCACTTTTTGTAATAAGGCTTTCAACCTGA